GACTGATAACCACAACCCAGGGAAAAGATTAGGATCCCCATAAACTACAACCAAAACTTCTTAGAGGCCCTGACCCCAGACCCAGACAGGAACTTTGTTTTATTCTATTTGTGCAACATTGGACAGCATGCTTTAGGATTCATTTCATGTTTCTGCATTAAGCTGGCAATTGATTTGTTGATGACGTTCCTGAGGGTACTTATAAGTCATATTTCAATACAATTTTACTTCAAATGACATATTCTGATATTAGGCAGAAGACAGTGCAAGCATTTAAAATAATTTTCAAGTTTTACATAATTTTGTAAGTTTTGGACATGCCTGTGAAGGATTGGTATGAGTTTACAGTAAAATATTTTGGTAGAATTCCACACTGAATCCCTCTGGAAAAGATTTTTTCATTGTGGGTGTTTTTTATTAAACATTCAACATCTTTGCTTTGATATGTTTTCTTTTTCCTCCCATCATATTTGTTTCTGTCCTAGGTCTCTGGGTCATCCAGCCTGTGGGTCCTCGTACACCAGGCAGTAACATGGATGGCTTACTCTCCAGTTTATGGAGTCCTCCAGAAGAGGGCAAGAAAGGATTGTAGGAATCAGAGGGGTCAAGACCTCCACAAGAAAATATACAGAATCAAATAATCTTGGCTTGTAGGTGCTCACTAGGACTGAACTGACAAGCAGGAAGCTTGCATGGGACTGACCAGGCACTGTGCTTATATTTGACCCTTGTGTAGTTGGTTTTATTGTGCGACTCCCAGTGATAGGAAAAGGGGCACTGAATTTGAAGAAAAATCTTGATCTTAGGCCTGGTAGGTAAAAAATGGCAATCCTCCTGCCTCTATAGTACTTCTGCTGGGATTAAAAACATTCACTAACACACTTGACATACACACACACACAAAAAAAAAACTGTTCCTTTCCTGAAAAGTACTCACATTTAATGAAACAAAACAACCCCAAAGTGAAATTAGCAAGAAAACACCATTGAAAAATCATTAAACTATGAATAGTCATAGCCCCACCACTGCACACTGGTCCTTCTGGTTCCATCACAGTAACTGGACTGACCCAGAGAAAAAATTGAAGATGAAACTCAACATCAAGTATATTCTGGAGAAGGACTTATGCAGAGAATAATGGAGAGAATCCCCTGTGGTAAGATAACCCAGTACTCTGGCCAGATGATTTTCTTATCTAATATCCCCACCTCAGTCTCCACTCTCCATATAGCTTTATATGTCAATCAAGATTCCTTCTTTTCTCACTTTTTACATGTTATGGGATTTCTTTGTTCTACAAAGCATTCTTCATAACCTTTCTTTGTTAGAAAATAGATTGGCTTGGTTTCCAGTAATTCTGTTACTCAGTTTTATGAGAGATAAGACTTTTTTTATGATATGACTACACAACATTACCTTTATAATTTCAGTCTACTTGTAGCCAAGTCTTCCCCATCTTTCCCATCTTTTTGTTATCTCTACCTTTCCTTTCTATGTATATACTCCTACTCTATTTCCTACCAAGAAACTCTTTTAATTACTAGTCCCTCCATGGTTGACCTCTGATTTTTCTTCCCCCTTTTTCTTACTTATACCCCAAATACCTGACATATCAGTAGAAAGATAATTGGGAGTGCCTTGTTCTCTAAAACAATGGGCATTTAAAGAATGTCTAATAGCAGTTTCATGATCAATCACTACTATAGTTTCATGGCAGTCTTACTAATGAATAATAACTCATATTGAAGACATTGATCAACTGTCTGAGGATGACTGAGGGGAGAGCTAGGAGCCCTGAATACAAGGCTAACCGAAGGTACATCACCTCAAACCTACTAAAACATAGATTTTCTTTAATACTGATAACACCCCACATAAGTTAGAAAGATGATTTGAATTAAATCAACAACAAAACTATACCACTGACACAAAGACAGATGGAAAAATCCCAGGACTATAGCACAAGTGACATGAAAAACCAAATCACTTTTCCTTCAGTAATTTATTAAGCTCAGAGTAACCCTGACACAACTCAAGATAAGAAATCAAAATGATTATAAATATGTTCAAAGAATTAAAATAACACAAGGCTATTTTCCGAATTAATCACAAGAAAACAATAAATGTTGAAAGAACCAAGGTAATTGATTCATCCAATCTGATTTTGTTGTATATGCCATATAATCAATCACCTAAGTGTACAGTAGGAAGAGACTTGTAATCTGATCTATGGCCAACTCCTAGCCCAATGAATCTTGTTTACCTTGTTAAGTTTACTTTGTTTTGATGACCATGTTCCTGATTACCTATGGGGGCAAATGTTTCAAGAATATCCCATTGCCTCATAAAGTAATCTCTGATGTCTTTACGTACATCACAACTTCCTAGGCATAAGGAAGACCTTCAAGTAGATAAGGATATCTCCTTGAAAGTGGGAGGAATAGTATGCTGAGGACTTTCCTGGGGAAGCTTAGAAGCAGTACTCCTGGGAGAATGCATAAATGATACATAAGAAAGTATCTATCAATCCAATATCCATAAAATGTACAAATATTAAATTCCCCCAAGCATGCAACATGTGGAGATAAAAACCAGAATGAAGTGGTGGCCATCATGTGGCTCGGCTTTGCTGGATCTTTGACAAGCAGCTGTGCTGGCTTTATGACTTTTACCATTTCCATCAGATATGGCTCTGTCAACTAAGAATATTTGATATATACATTAGGGGAACTTAAAAAATTTGTGGTGACAATATTCCTCTCAAGAGCAAGAAACTAGTACCACCTATAAGAATCCCCCTTTTGAGCTTTAGTCAGGGAATAACCAGAGACTCCACAAACATATACAGACCTTTGAGATTCCCTTGGTTGCCTCCCAGAGGTTGAAGGTAAGTCCTCAATGCTGAAAATACCATGTGATTTAGACAAAAGACTCAGAGGATTTGAGCTGGAACTGACCCCAAAGCAGTGAGAACTAGACTTCATAGTACCAGATCGTGATGTACACACTGCTAATGGAGGAAAGCAATCAATATTTTTATCTAGTTCTGATTTCTATGAATCAAAATAAGGACTATCATGGCAAGTTACCCCTAAGTGGGCAATAGTCACACTTATATCTTGAAAAAAACCAACAGGTATCTAATTGGATGCAAGCCCTTCTCAATGGAGGGAAATGATGCCCGGTACTAGAAACCTAGCTCAATACAAATGACCAGTGAGGTGATGCATCACAGAAGGGAACCTTCTTTGGCCACTCTTCTAAACAAGTACAATTACTTAGCTACCTTGAAAAACTTACCCTTATATCCACAGGTAAATGTAGACTGCTCCTCTCATCAAGAATATTTCTTTGAAGCAAAAGGAGACCCTTATTTTTTTCCTTTTATTTTATTTACAATAACATTCAGTTCTACATATCACCCATGGATTCCCTTGTTCTCCCCCTCCTGTCCCCCTCCCCTTCCCCCAGCCCACCCCCCATCCCCACCTCCTCTAGGGCAAAGCCTCCCCCGAGGACAGAGATCAACCTGGTAAACTCAGTCCAGGCAGGTTCAGTCCCCTCCTCCAAGGTTGAGCCAAGTGTCCCTGCATAAGCCCCAGGGTTCAAACAGCCAACTCATGCAATGAGCACAGGACCCAGTACCACTGCCTAGATGCCTCCCAAACAGATCAAGCCAATCAACTGTCTCACCTATTCAGAGGGCCTGATCCAGTTGGGAGCCCCTCAGCCTTTGGTTCATAGTTCATGTGTTTCCATTCGTTTGGCTATTTGTCCTTGTGCTTTATCCAACCTTGGTTTCAACAATTCTCGCTCATATAAACCCTCCTCTTTCTCGCTAATTAGACTCCCGGAACTCCACCCAAGACCTAGCCATGGATCTCTGCATCCAGACCCCTAAATCGATGGATGGGGTTTCTAGCATGACTATTAGGGTGTTTGGCCATCCCATCACTAGAGTAGGTCAGTCCCAGCTGTCTCTCGACCATTGCCAGCAGTATATTGTGGGGGTATCTTTGTGGATTGCTGTGGGCCTCTCTAGCACTTTGTTTCTTCCTTTTCTCATGTGATCTTCATTTACCATGGTCTCCTACTCCTTGTTCTCCCTTTCTGTTCTTGATCCAGCTGGCATCTCCTGCTCCCACAGGCTCTCTTTCCCTCGACCCTCGCCCTTCATTACTCCCACTCACGTCCAGGCTGTACATGTAGATCTCAGCCAATTCTCTGTCATTGGGCGATCTCCGTGTCTTTCTTGGGGTCCTGTTTTCCAGGTAGCCTCCACATCTAGTATCCTCCTATGAGTGAGTACATACCGTATTTGTATTTCTGAGTCTGGGTTACCTCACTCAGGATGGCTTTTTCTAGATCCACCCATTTGCCTGCAAACCTCATGATGTTATTGTTTTTCTCTGGTGAGTAGTATTCCATTGTGTATATGTGCCACATTTTATTTATCCATTCTTCAGTTGAAGGGCATCTAGGTTGTTTCCAGGTTTTGGCTATTACAA